TCCTCTCCATGTAACGCAAATATGGGTTAGCTCCATCAAAAAGTCCTCCACGAAGGCAAATTTATCCCAATACTCGATCCAGGAGTTCCCTTGTCTTCTGGATTGGGTTCAAAATTACAAGGCTAAAGAGTTGAACATTAGTAGTCGTAAACCCATAAAATTGGGTCGGCTGTTCAACGACGGTTATAAAATGAAATATAAGAAAGGAGTGATAGAATTCGCATATACACATTATAACTATTAATAAATAGTGATAGTTAGTGATGGTTTTCTGCTTTAAAAAAGGGTATAAATAAAATGTTCTATTCAGTAATTATTTGTCAATTCAAAAAATTAGCTGAATTTGATTTAAACCAAATGCTAATAAACATTCCCAATAACAGCATATTTTGTCCTTAAAACCAGAAATCTTAGAGACACTTTGTTGACGTTCGTTTAGTAACAAAAGCAAGAGTTTCGATAAAGCGAATACTGTCAAACATTGTTTTTTTTTTAAATTTGGAAGAAAAAAAAACTTGTAATCTGTTATCTTGTATTTTTTTTCTACCATGAGTTCCTTTGAAGTTTCATTTTTAAGTACTTCTTAAGTTTCCTTTCAATAAATTAGATATTTTATCTGACAGCTCAATGAAAAAAAAAAGTGTCTACAAACGTTGCGCCTGAGAAGTTTTAGTTTTTAAACTTGATCAACTCAATCTTAGTTTTTTGAGAAATATTTTAGAAGAAAAAAAAATCTGTTTCGAAGTTTTTGATGTTTTATCTTAAAAAGAATAAAAGGAAAATGCTTTAAGCCGAAAATGATTTATGTGGTTTTATGTATAAAGAACAAAAAATATCGTCAAAATAAATTTCACTTTATTATAACTTTGATGGAATCATATTTAGAATAGACTTAAATTTCCGTTTCTCGTCTTGGGTTCTCATGAAACTAAAGAAAGTATATCGATATTATGAAAATGAAAACTGATACGATGTAATTTCACATTTAAAATTACCTATTTTATCTTCTGCTGTTATCAGAATCTTTCAGCTGTGGTAAAATCTTTTACATTTCAAATATTGTTAGTAGGAGATTTTCTTTTGTGGTAACTGGTTTTCGGTTAACTATATTATTCATAGAGTTTTTCATGCTCATTCACTAATAAACAAACCAGAGCTTTAAATAAATCGATATAATCGATAATAATCGATAGAAACTGAAGCGGACTTGGTAAAAAACATCATTCGCTTCAAAAATATACAGATATAACATTCGACATGTTTATTTTATTTCACAACTGTAGTTGAACCACCAACCCAATTTTTTGGGTTTACGGCTATTAATGTTCAACTCGGTAGCCTTGTAATTTTGAACTCAATCCTGAAGACAAGGGAACTCCTGGATCAAGTATTGGAAGAATTTTGTCTTCGTGGGGGACTTTTTTTGATGGAAATAACACGCAGTTGTGTTACATGGAGAAAGAAACCACGAAAACATTCCACAGTCAGCCTGATGGCAAGGGGACTCTAACCCATGATCTGCGCACTACTAAAGATATTTTACGCCAGCACTGTGGTCGGTGCTAACCGAGTGAAGAATTCGTATCGACCAGCCATCGCTGGGATTCAAACCTGGCTCCCCTTATTGGAATGCGAACGCTCTATATCCTGAACCATCCTTCGACATGTTTGTTAAATTTTTAAAAAAAACTTCTTTAAAAGCTGTAGAAATGTACTTTTTTTATTAAAAAAAACTTTTTTCCAGAACTCTGCTAGACCTCCAAAAATTATAAATTAATTATAAAATGATTAATTACTTAGACATTGTTTCGTGAAAGAATTTCTTTAAAGAACAACTTCTCTTTGGCAAACTTTTCATTTATTTAAAATATTTTTAAACTTCCGCTGCAATAGTTTCACAAAATGGCTCTAACATTCACTCCAGAATCGAAGAATATTTCACTTTGAGTATAAAAAGGAGAAAAAGAACCGAATGCTAAACAATTTCAGAACAAATCAACGAAAAGTTTTCATTTTCCTCCAAAAGTGAGATTTAATAATTCATCAAAATAATTAATCAAAGAGATTTGCCGATAAATTATTCAGTGAGTGATTCTGTTCACAGAAAAGGAGATTAAATCTTTTTTGGAATAAGAATTTTTCTTGCTAATTAAGAATTATAAAATGCAACGGGGCAAAATAATTAATTATACACGCGTCCAGAGATTTTGAAATTTGTCTGAACTTTTATTTTACTGATTTGCATATTTGAATAAAACTTAAAGAACTTAACGAACTTAATGACACTATTCAGTCGTTTCATCGCAACACTTTTAAAAATATTTAAATCAATGGAACGTGAGATAGGTGTCAAATTTATTTGCAATTGAAAATGAAAATACTTTTTTTAAATGTATACGAATTAGAAAAAGCTTTATTTCGATTTGCCGTGCTATTTAAAAACACCATAAGGTTAAAAATATATTAAAAGTGTTTTCAAGTTTTTTTCGTCGAAGAAAATTAAAAACCTTCATTTTAAGTGCTTTACACCTTAGGGCAATGAAGCTATGATTTTAAACTATATATATCATCTTCCCATAAAAAATTATTTTATCTTTAAAACGAACAAATAGTTTAAACATTTTAACCGATATTAACTTATTTCAAAGAATACTAATTTAGCGATATTTTTTAATCTAGATTAAAATTGTCATAATCAATTTATAATTCTAAATTTTGGCAAATTTTTGGAAGTTCAAAATGTAGAGAAAACATGGAAAAACTACAAAACAATAAAAAAAGGGAAAAGGAAATTAATAAAAATCCAGAAAATAAAAGATGTTATCTTTTCATCAGCTCACACGATCATATGCGCAAAAAGGAGTGCTTTCTAACATTGTATCAACATATCCAAAGCAAAATATATCAATACAATAGTGTGAGGAGCACAAAAATTTACAAAAAAATCACAACAAATAAAATAGAACACATTAAGTAAAAATATCACGTTAAGACAGAAAATAAAATCTAAAGAAAAAAACAGAATAAAATATAAAACGAAATCTATAAAGTGAGTAGTGAATTCAAATGAATTTACATGAATTATTGTTTCGCTTAATTTTCTTCTTTTTTTTCCTTTTTGTATTTATCTATTATGCTATATATATATATATATATAGAGAGAGAGAGAGAGAGAGAGAGATACATAGCCGTTGTTGAACAGCCGACCCAATTTCAAGTTTGCGACTATCATCTACGTAGCCTTGAAATTTTGAACCCAATCCAGAAGACAAGGAAAATCTTGGATCAAGTATTGGAAGATATTTGCCCTCGCAAGGACTTATTGATGGAATTGAACCTCATTGTGACATGGAGAGGAAAACTACGAAAACTTCCCCCGGCTAGCCCAAGGCATGGAAACCTTATCCCATGGTCTACCACCTACCACTGAGGATATTTTTACGTCAGCCCTGTGGTCAGTACGAGCCGGATGGATGCAGAATTCGTTTCAAACAGCCATTGCTGGAATTCGAACCCGGGCACCTCATGGGAAGGTCGAAAGCTCCATTCCTCGGGCCACTATGGTTCAATGCAGTGTTGTTTTAACTTTTTAAGAAGTAAGAAATTAAATCACATATTTTTTTAATTTTCTCAAAACTGGGTGTTTTTTCATGTTTTGCACAATTTTCAGAATACGCATAGATAATAGATGAGAAAAACTTGACTTACCAGTCGTGTTGCAAACTCAAAATAGTTGCGAAAACATATATTATTCGGCGCAGCATATTAGTCACAAAAAAACGTTATTTTTTTGTTATAACAGGTCAATCGAAAAATCTCTTAAATACAGAAATAGAAGATTAACAGATAAAAAAAAAAAGAAAAACCGAATGATCAATACAGTTAAAACTGATGAGTAGACAAAACTAATTCCTCAAAAAAAATGCATTTCTGCAACAGCCCGCTGTTGGCCAGCGTGATCATGGAGATGAAAACCCCACAATTTCGTGACCAACGGTTGGATTGTGGCAATGTGGTCAGTATCGCGTACAGGGCATACACGCTACGTGGATTTCAAGCTGCCACTGAGGATAAAATCAAAAGTAAATGAAAAACAATTTCCTTGAAGGAAAAATTATTTAAATTAAAACACTGTAAAAAATACCCGTTTTTTTACCGAATTTCTCTGTATATTTGACGGTTTAAAGCTGTTTCATTGACAAAATGGGTTTCCTCTGTTTTCATCCTGATCATAAACAAATTAAAATTGTACCATCAGTTCAAACTCTAGTTTTTACCGTGCAGTTTTGCATACAGCACTGTAACATTATTTTGTTACAAATCATTTTACGATTATTTTCTTTTCTTCAATTATTTTATAGTTTTGCACATAATATAAGTAAAACTACATTATGACTTTATTTTCAAATTGATACTCTACGTCATTATTATATGATACTTCTTTAGATATAATTTTAGATATAAGTTGGCAAACAATTTTGTATGGGTAGACCACTACAGTTTTAAGCGCTTTCACACTTAAGTACTATTTTAATATATAAGATTTTTCAGATAAAAACAAATTAAAATTTTTCTTCATACTGAGACTCCGAGCTGCAGTAGCTCAGGGGACTAAGCCCTCGCCCCCCATGAAGGGACTCAAGTACGGATCTCGGAGTTGACCAAGTAAGCGAAAATCGGATTATTAGATCAAAATGTATTCTTAGTCAATCATTTTGTCTACCTTAGTATCATTTTGACCACCATAAAATAATGCCAAAAATAGTTTTGCAAGTTCCGAAACCAAACAAACTAGATATTAAACACAGTCTTCATGAATATACCCCCTTATTAATTAAAATAAATATTAAAACCATGTTTATTAACAAGTTTAAATGCTCATATAAGCAAGGTCTAACAATTTCTATTAGTTTTTTTCTCTTAAAAATACAAAGAGTAATGTAATTAATAAAATATTTTCAATTTCACACGATGAACAGAAACCACTTCATCTTTAAAACTCCTTGCAATACAATTTTATTAATCTTTTTGAAAAATTTATTTTATTTTTTCAGCCATACATGTACAGTAATTAGTGTGATATACTTTGAACGGAAAATCATTTTGTGCACTAAATTCAGTGTTACAAGTTCATTTTACGTACAAACCTATGACTCTTCATTTTGCAAATCAATCAATAAAATGAATCGGCGTCTTATAAATGCTATAACCCAAAACGTCTTTCAACTTTCCCAGCAAAATTTCTCTAAGTTTTTCAGAAAAATGGTTTTTAACAACATCCTTATTAAATGTTCTTCCAGCTTGCATAGACGGAGCATCAGCGATGATATGTGCCACCTTAACCGTAATCTTCCCCACATTATTGATTTTCAAGTCCAGCATACTAGGTATGTTATCCTTAACTGTAGTCGTGATTTTGACGTCAAGTCTTGTATCATCTATAAGAGCGACGATGTCAAAAGCGGATGTTGTGTCTCCGTTATGTGACTCGGCAGTATACAAGAACTTAAGTCTGGGAAATCCAAGATAGCAGATGAAAGTTATGTTTGAAGATCTCAAAACTGGATGTGAGCAGTCATGCATGCGTTTGAGTTTGGTCAGATTATCCAGATGGCCATCCCTGAGTAGAAGATAGTTGTCTGTCGCGTTTGAAACGTACACATTATCTATGCGATCGTCGGAGATGGAATCTTTAAAGCTTAATTTGCTGTATTCGGCCTCTAACTGAAATCTGTTTTCTAGAACACTGCCGATGTAGCTGTTTGCATCTTCTTTGGAATGAACGAGTTCCCCTGAAAATAATTTATTGAAAAAGCATATATTAAACAAAATCCAATGCACTGGGGAAAAAATTTAGTGCATATTCATCAAAATTGGTGGCAAATACTTTACACCAAAGAAGTGCAGTGAACCACCGCAAATAACCTTTGTTCTTGGTATTTTATTATATCAAGAACCAAGGATAGTTTATAGAGTTGTGAAACATCAAGAATGTTTTTAAATTACTTGGCATAAATTAGTTGTCCGCGTTTTTAGTATTTAGCAACACTTAACTTTATAATTGCTGTAAGATATGATACACACATTGTAAAAAATTTATTTTCCTATTACACCAAAAATTGTGGCAAATACTTCACACCAAAGTAGTGCAGTAAAATACCACAGATAACTTTTGGTTTTCTAAAAATTGTGGCAATTGTTTACACCGAAGTAGTGTAGGGAAACACCACAAATAACTTTTGGTTCTTGGTATTTCACTGCATCAAGAACCAAGGATAGTTCCTAGAGTAGTGAAACATCAAGAATATGTTCGTATTACTTGGCGTAATTTAGTTCTCACCATTTTTAGTATTTAGCAGCATTGAAATTTATAATTATTGCAAAATATGATACACACACTGTAAAAAATGTATCGTAATTCCACACCAAAAATTCTGAAAAGGTAAAAACAAATTCTGTACCTTCAGACCGAAAATTGTGGCAACTACTTTACACGAAAGCAGTACAATAAAACACCACAAAGAACTTTTGGTTTTAGGTATTTCATTACATCAAGAACCAAGGATAGTTCCTAGAGTAGTGAAACATCAAGAATATGTTTTGTATTACTTGGCGTAAAGTAGCTGTCACCATTTTTAAAATTGGACAGCATTAAAATTTATGACTACAGTACGATATGCTACGCACACCGTAATAACATTTTAACGTGTACTTGCCACCATTTTTGGTGCTGAGGTAAACTGAATACATTTTTAAGCACGGGTCTGTAATAAATGTACAAAAATATATAAAATTGACAAAATAACAGTTGTTCAAAAGAATTAGTGCAAAAATATTGCTAAAATTATACTTGTTTTTTTAAAAGAATTTTTTTGCAATGAAGTCATAAATTGACTCCATAATTGATGATACGGCTATCGAAACGTACATCAATCTTGAACCTTCGGAGCAGCTTAGTGGTATCACCATCTTCAACGACTGCAGGTCTGCCTTACAGGCCCTCAGCAAAGGTACCTCAAGCCTTGTCCTGAATATCATAGAACAACTTGGACAACTTCAGCGTCTCCGGAAAAATTGCTTCTTGCAGTGGATTCCCGCCCATGTGAACCTAGAGTTCAATGAAATAGCTGATTCCTTGGCTAAATTTGCCAGAGATCTAAATCAAAATTCAATCCCAACCACGTTGGCAGATGCAAATGCTTTTGCAAAGTCAAGACTATTCACCCCTTTAAAAATCAAAGCCCACGATCAAATAACTAATCTTGACATCGATAGGAAGACAGCCACTACTCTCATCAGACTAAGAACAAAACATCATAAAAACATGAAAATTTCTACAGATAAGACTAGAAAATATCAAAACTGTGGCAACTGTCTTAATGTGGAACTGACACCATATCATGTTTTTAACTGCCCTGCAGTCGCTGCAGGCCTTCACCTCTTAAACTACCCCACAGAAGAGGATTTGTATTTTTTAATGCCATAGAAATAACAAAAACTGTTCAAGCACACCATGAAATATGATTCAATAGAGGATACGACACCAACCATAATTGATGATTCATAATTGATAAATTGAAACCATAATTGATGAAACCATAAATTGACCATGAAAATATGTGCTGTGAGTAAATAAACAAACAAAAATAAATAATAAGAAAAAACTAACAGTGAAAAAGAAAAGAAGAAACTATGGCTACATGCACTGTATAAAATTTAAATTTACCTCAATACTAAAAACGGCTGCATTTGTAAATCGAAATATTTTACAGCGTATAAGAGTCATTAAAGTTATTTTTAAGATGCACTATAAAGTTTTAATCATTAATTTAGGATGCATACATACACTAAATTTAAAAGTGAAATTAGTTTGCTAATCAAGCATACGCACAGCACAAAGAGGATACAGGGATGAATTTGAACTAGGCCTAACGGAGCAGAAATGAAATCTTATACAATTATAGATACATTTAACAAATATATAGAAATTAAAATTTTTAAATAAGAATATTGTCAATGAAGATAAAGGTGTCAAGGGCGAAACCGTCATTTAAAAAATATCTTTAGTCTTGAGAGCAAAACTATTTTCAAATTTGAAATCTGCACGCGGGAATTATGTAGGTAGGTACATTATTTACGTCGCAATAGATGACTTACTGGCGAGTGTCTGGGTAACATCCCTGAGGATGATCCGAAGACATGCCATCACAATTTGATCCTCCGCAGAGGAGATGGCTTCCTTGCCTTGGTAGTTCCACTACCTGCATGCGAAATTGAGCACTTTACGGTAGAACACTTTAATGTGGACCGATACCGTACATCCTCGATCCCTACGCAGGCTGATCAAAGTGGTCACTCACCAGATTATTGACCACAACCAATGATACTTGACTTCTGTATTCTGCTGGGAACCGTGTCCTTACAGTAGTCAACTGCGGGACCACACGAATTAGGAAAAATCAAGTATGTATTTGCATAAATGCAACAAAACATTTGTTCCTCCGTTTAATTCATAGAAGGGGACTGAAAATTCACCAAAAAAATTAATACAATATATAGCGAACGGGACATGATGCATCGGTCGTTTTAATGTACGAGTGGCTGTAACGGGAGTCGTACTAAAGAGAGGAGACTACAATGTGTTTAAGAGTAAATATAGTGCCACTAAAATATAGTTGGCATTAAAATAAAATTGCGTATATGGTATAGCAGTAGAAATTTATGTATTGGAAGGGTCTATTTTTTTACATTAATTTCAGCGTTGAACAGCCAACTCAATTTTTGGTTTGACACTAACGTTCAACTCCGTAGCCTTGTAATTTTTAACCAATCCAGAAGACAAGGAAACTCCTGGATCAGTACCCTCAGATATTGATTTGTTATGGGAACATAGAGGATTTCGCGACTCGACAGATTTAACGTACATCAGTAACCATTTACTGCACGGGGAGACTCCGGCCTCCCGGGATCAAACCCACGACCTCTTGGACATGGGTTCATGCAATAGGGTCTCGATAAAGAACGTTGACTGCAGTAACTTTTTTATCAAAAATTATTAGGAAAAAAACTGACCTATAAGAACATCGCCTTCGGTTGTAGTAACTTCAAGATCTCCGATGTCTAGGTCAAACTTCTCGAGAGAAAACGGCTTTTCTTTCATCCTCTCCATCATAAGTGTCTTCATCTGAACTTCAACCAATTTTTCGGTCAACGCTTTGAAAAACAGCGCGACGTTTGTCTTCGTCGGTTCTTCCATCCACCCTAAAAATCGCATCCCTTCAACTTCAAGCGTCATGTTACTGATATAATCCACATTCAGATCTTCTAAAATTGATTCTTTGCCACCGGCATCCAATGAGATACCAGTACTCAAAAACACCTTTGAAGTGACCCCTTTTCCAGACACGGCTTTGTTGATGTTTATTGCCTTCACGGAGCCTGTGAAATTGAAAAACATCTTTTCGATTTCCAATTCGGCGCTCACTTTTAGCCTCCCTTGTTCGAATGACAGATAACAGGAGGACACGCGATGGAGGTTTCGTAGACCGCTTATGTATCCTTCTGTCAGCTTGGCCTCACCTTTGAAGTCAATGAATACAACCTTCTTGTGAAATGTTAAGAGACTCTCGTTGATTGGATGAGGGTCGAAATAGTCGCCATTTTCTTCCAGGACATCCTGGATCATTGAGTCGATGTAGTTGTTGCAGCTCAAGATGGCTTCTTTATAACCACCACCTGCTAAATTAAGAAAATTGTTTAATATTGCAATATTTTTTTTAAGAAATATCAGGAATTCAATTTATATATAATGTAAAATGCATTAAAATCATTGTAATTATTAAGGTAATCAATTAAAATGATGAATAACACTGGGGAACAATTTGTTTATTTTCCTGTTTGTTGAATGAAATTTTTCTAACGGATCTATGTATCTTTTTACATTAATGATATCAAATCTGCAATCGGTTTTTCTTCCCAAGCTGCAGTTTTTTTAATGACATTCTTAGTCTCTTTTTTTATCTTTTTTATAAGGAAAACTAAGGGAGTTATATCTCATCATGAAGATTAAAATTGCGTAAGAACATATATACATGGAAATGTCGTCACACACCTGTAGTGCATCTACCACTACAAAAGTACAATTCCAATTCACTAGTATATAAGACATGTTAACTCGATTCTAAGTTGGGGTACCTTTTCCTAGATGAATGTTGACGTTGTCGATAGCTACCTTTTTCACACACCTCAAGAGGCCTATTAAGAATTGTTTCTTTGTGTGCTTCTAAATAAGTCAGAGAAATAGGACAGAGTTTCCTGACAGAGAGAGCTAACATATTCGGGCATGCGTTTGGATGCAATTTTAATACTGATGATGTGAATTAACTCCCCTAAAAGTTTTTTTTTATTTCTAATGAGATGCATAATCGGTCTTTCCGATGAGCAGACCTAGTGCGTTCTCTAGTGGTGGTATCCCCTCTTTCAGGACCACCACAATGGGTGAGATACCGTTCGTCATGTTAATTTGGACGTCTAGTTTCTGCCACACTAGATGGCAGCACCGAGACTCTATTTGTATGCTAAAGTGCACAAGGAATTTAATTTTGCCGGAAATGCCAAGAGTCAATAAGGCACTCCAGGGATCTTTTACATGCCGCATAATCATACGACATGGCCGCTGAGGATTTTCTGCATCCCGAAAATCCGGTGTCTGGGCCGGGGATCGCCCCTAGAACATTTATGCGATCCCTTGTTGTATACAGCGTTTTTAAACTTGCGCATTTCCATTAAAAATAGACTAAATATGATATTTAAAAAAAATATCTGCAGCTTTAGGGGCAAAACTAATTTCAGATTTGAAATCCCAACAC